ATCTTACAAATCTTTGCTTAACCCAGGGTCACAAGTGTTCTCTCCTGAAGTTTCATAGTTCCAAGTTTTTCATTTAAGATCTGTGCTGCATTTGAAGTTAACTTTTGTACACATGTGAGCTATGGAATGGAATTTATTTGGTGTTGGTATAGGGGTAGTGAACTTTGGTAGCAAATCCATTGACTGCATATGTTCCGGGATCCAACCCAGGGCCTCCTGCATGTTGGGCAAGCCACTGCACATTGAGCTGCATATTGAGCTACATCCGCAGCCCCAGGGTCATATTTTTGGGGCGAGTTTCTGACTACTTGCTTTTGGAGGGTGGTAATAACAACTTTTCACGTAATGGGTATAATATTTTGTCCTGTTGTCTTCTCAATTTGAATCTAAGTGTTAATGCAGTCCCTTGATGTAGCTGGCACGGGCCAGTTTCCTTCATGGAGGTAGAACTCAGCCAGGTCAGGACGCTTAAGATCCAGAACATTCCCCAGCAGTGTGTAACAGAGGCCTTGGGTCTGTGGCATACCCCAAATTGAATTTTAATTCCAGCTTAGTTCATTACTTGCTGTGTGAACAGGGGCAGCGTAATTAATGTCTCCCTTGTCACTTGCTTCTTCCAACACAGCTAACTCCCGGTAGTGGGTCGGCTAGAATTAGTGCTGAGCTTCCCAGGGCCCAAGCCCCGTGCAATGCGGGCAGCGGGGTCTGTGATCACCATGACTGCCCTGACCAAGGCTGTGGGTTTTCTAGATAAAGCAGAACTTGTTACTAAAGAACAAAATGATTCCTTAACTAGGGATACACAGGTGTGTAGGAGACGAGTTTTAGGATGGAGCAAGGGCATTTCGTCTGCGTTGCTGAATGAGGAATGGGCTTCAGGCGAGAAGGTCTTCTGGGACCGTCTTGGTTTCATTGCGTGAAGCCTTGTTAGGAGGCCACGTTAGTGTCACGTTAGTGCCACATTAGTGACGGGGCGGTGGTCTGCCTGCGGGCTAGGCGTGGGTTCCTGTTGCTGTCCCTTGTGCTGTCTTGCGTCGCGTCGCGTGTCCATGCTAGCTCCCGCCCTTCTGTGGCCTGGGGGAGCTGCCTTCACTCTCCTCTCCTCACGCTCAGCCGTCAGCCTCTGTCTGAAGCGGTTCTCTTCTTGCCACGTCTGTGGTCTTGATAGGAATCAGAAATTTCTGCCAACGCTGGCCCCTGCACTCGGCTCAGCCCTCTCTCCTCTTGGTTTGCAGGGGGCGGCCCTGAAGTACTTGCCGACCATCGTCAACGACGTGAAGCTGGTGTTCGACCCCAAGGAGCTCAGGTAACTAGGCGCCAGGCGGGCGCTCACCCATCACGCCTTCCTGGGGCTGCTGTCGTCCGGGGCATGCTCCGGGCCTGCCTCGGGTCTGCACGGGTCAGTGCCCTGGACCGCCCCGGGGCATGGGCTGCTGCTGGTGTCTGTCACTTTGCTAATTATCACTTTGTGTGGGGAAGTTGTCACCCATCAGCAGGCACTGGGAATACGACGCCAGTTGGGCATTTTGCATGGTTAGGTTTTGATTTTCAATTCGTAGCTGTTGGTTTTCGTCTCATTTTGTTTTGTTTTCACAACCCGAAAGTCCTCACATAGGTGTTCTCCTGCTCTTGTGTCACCTCCCCTTCTTTATAACGGGTGTAGCTTCTCCTGAGCTCCTGAGGGAGGGGCTGGGAACGCCAGGCAGAAGAATCAGACAAGAATTTTTTAAAATCCCCAAAGACAAACTGGGTGGGAGACAGCCACAGGGCTTTCACTGAGGAGGGAACTAGCAACCAGGTCCTTCCTTTTGCCCTGGAACATGTCACCCCGTGTGGTGTCTTTGTACAGCCCGCAAAGGCATCCGGCACATGTTGGAGGACTCAGGGCTGGAGAAACAGGGGAGGCATGGAAACTGCGTCTACTGGGGTGCGGCCATACTCTGCTCCCATCCTCCCGTGCTCAGGGGGATCAGCCTCTTGTCCATCAGAGGAGCACAGCAGAGTCACTGTCCCTGCTCGAGCCTCATGCTTGGAGCTCCAGGGAAGTCCTGCTGAGGCCCTCTGTTCTTGGTGCACGTCTGTCCGCATTAGTCCCTTTTATACTGATTTCAAACGTGACATTAAAAGTCATGTTTGTATGTTTTCCTGCTTGGATCATCAACCCATGTTTTAATAAAGTGGAAGTGATCACAGGAGAGAAAAATTCACACTTAAGTCCACTACCCAGACGCAGCCAGAAAGACCTGGATCCTTAACACGCTGCAGACACACCCCTCAGAGGCCCACCTTCTTTTCTTTAGGAGCACTCTTGCACTCACACATCTTATTTCCCGTGTCTTCAAATCCTCTTTTGCATCGTAATTATTCATGACTTTCACGGTGTGCCATTCTCTGCTGGCCCATCATTTGCTTAAGCCACAACCACAGACGTGACATCTATTATGTGCTTTCTCCATACAAAATGGGCATTTCACAAAGCACCTCCATGCGCGAGTCAATTAGTCTTTACAACAATGGCATGACATTGGTTCTATTATTAGCCTAATTTTGCTTCTCTGCAGTCACTCAGCTGGCCAGTGGCACTGGTTCAAGGCCAACCCTGGCTTTCTGATTATAAAGAACAGGCCTCTAACTATTGTGCTGCCTGAAGGGTGCCGAGTGAAGTCTGCTCTTTATCTTTACAAAATATACAGGGATACATTTTTTTTTTTGTAGCTTAATTGTATATCATTAGGATAATCAAAGAAGTGGAATTACTTGTTCTTATATTTTCTTAAAAGATTTTTAATAGATATTTAAAATCCAAAAGGTCAAACTAACATTCCATTAGTTCGTCTCCACTGTCTCCATACCCAGACTTTGCAGTGCTGGGAAGTAGCCTTTGACAGGACCAGCCTATTGACCCATAAGCAGTACTTCCCGTTCTTGTTGCTTTCCTTGAGATGCCAGGGGGTGCTCTTCTGGTATTCCTTCATAGTTCTGGCCATTTGTGAAAGGAAAGTTTTAAATGTTTTTATTGAAATACTAGGTGAATACTCTGAAGTCACCTGTTTATAGTGTTCAGTTCAATAGATTTTTTAGTGCATGTTTCAGAACATTTTATTTCCCCAGTAAGATCCCTTGTGCCATTACCAGTCCTTTCTCACTGCTACCCCTGCCCTAGGCAATCACCCATCTATTCTTTGTATCTGTAGATTTAGCTTCTCCAGGTGTTTCATAAATGGGCTCATTCAATATTGGCTTTCACTTAGCGTCATGTTTCAAGGTTCACCTGGGTTGTAGCAAGGGTCAGTGCTTGCTTCTTTGTTTGGATGAATTTTATGGACAGACATGTACATCTACTCCCCAGCTCATGGATATTTGGTTGTTTCTCCTTTTTTAGTACTATTTAACAGTGTCGTCACTTTGAGTCATACACACGTTTTTGTGTGGATATATACTTTCATTTATTGAGTTTATAATTAAAAATTGGAATTGCTGATTTACACGATGACTATGTTCAACATTTTGAGAAAATACAAAACCACGTTCCAAAGTGACTGTACTATTTCACACCCCCACCAGCATGGCGGGAGGGCTCCGGTTTCTTTAATCCTCAATGCTTGTTATTGCCTGTCATTTGAATAATAGCTATTTTAATGACTGTGAGTTAAAAAAGAAAACATTTATTTGGGGATGTGTGTAATTTTGGCCAATCTTGTGTGAGGGGCTTGTCCAGCATGCCAGTGTCATGTCAGGACCCTCGAGGGACCTCCTGTCTTGTAACAGCACCGGGTTGTTTGCTGTGTGTGTCTCAAGTATTTTGCTCATGTTCTTCCTCATAGTAAAATGTTCACCGAGTTCATCCTCAACATCCCCATGGGTTTGCTGACCATTCAGAAGCTCTACTGCTTGATTGAGATTGTTCACAGTGACCTCTTCACCCAGCACGGTGAGTTATGATAGATATCATCACGGGATCCACGGTCTGCAGTCGTGGCCCCTCTGAATTCCCTCCTCCCTGCTCTGAGGAGTGGAGGTGGCATGTGGTTAAAACATGTCCAGCACAGGACAGGGAGACGTAGCCCTTACAAGAGAACAGTGATTGACACAGTGTAGGTAGCAGCTCATTGGGAAATGAGTGCAGAAGGTGGTAGTTTGTCATTTGGGTGCACACCAAAGCCCGAGGATAATCAGCATACTTTGTGGTCTTTAAACCGTGGGATTGTCTATCCTGGGGTCGCAATTACTAGCTTCCACTGAGATGATGGCAAAAAAAAGTTCAGGTTTTCTTTAAATTTAGAAGTAATGGTTCTGTCATCATCTGAACTTTGCCATCTTTGACAGGGTTTCTTCCAACCCTGCTCAGAGTCATATGAATTCTGATGATTCCTCAACTCATTTATCCTGAAGAACACCTTATATTTTTCCTCATTATCTCCCCATCCTTTTTATTAATCACTTTTTTTCTGTTTGGACAGACTGAATTAATATTTTACATTTGTCAGGTTGTTTTATTGAAAACTTAAAAGCTGTGCATAATTCCTTAACCTTCCTCATTTATTGGACACAGGTGTGAGGTCTGCAGAGTGACATCCTGATGGCATAGATTTATTCTCTTTCTTTTGGGTCTGGATGCTGGGCTTCTCCATTCATTTTCTTGTGTCCTCAGGCTTGGTGTTGTTTGTGATTCCTCTGTGCCTTTCCAGCGACAAGCAGCGCTCATTGGGAAATGCCCGCTGAGAGGTTGCTGGCCGGACTGAGAATGCACTGTCTGGCGCAGTCCTCTGTGCCTTCTGGGTTGGTGGGCACCATGTTTGCCTGCTGGTTTACCTTTATCATATCACTGGAGTGTGTGCCTGTTGCCAATGTTTATGTTAAGAGATGACATTAAGAGTTCACCTGGGTGGGAGTGTTCTTCTGGAGGAAGAAAAATACCAAATCAAGGAGGGGTGGCTTTGTGCAGCCCCTTCATGTAGACCTTTCTTTGGCCAGAACCCTGTTTCTCACTTCTATAAAAGAAAGTCAGCTGTCCCCGCCGTCTGAGACTGAAATCACACAAATCTAGAGTGGGCCATTAATTCTGACTACCCGTATTTCAGGTCCCACTGAGAGGCTGGTACGTGAATTGTCTACTCCCTGGGTGACTGTTCCAAATCCTAGGGACTGCATGGGGTTTAGAGAAAGGCTGATGAGGAGGTGGTATGTTGGGACCCAGCTTCCGCGGTCATGCCTGTATGGACTATGCTTCATACCGGAGCAAGTAAATTCTCCAAAAGTTTATACATAGGTCTCATTAGGTAGATTTTCCATCTACTCACCATTCAGTACCAAGACAAACATATATGTCATAGAGAGAGGGAGAGAGATTGATTCTCCAAGAATTATGAAATTTATTCTGGACTGGCAGAGCATTGCATTGGGAATATGTGTTCTATAGCAAACTGTGGGTGTTTGCAAGGAGTCTGAGGCCAGGGAAAGGGTTTAGAGGCGAAATGAGGAGGATTCCATCAGGAATTTTAAGTAGTAATCCTTGGCTGGAATGACTGATGCCAAGAGTTAACAGCCCGAGGTGAGTGGTCGGTGGCTGGGCAGACGTCCTGATGAAGCTACTCCTTGTACAGGGCTGCCGTGGCTCTGAGAAAGCCTGCAGTTTTGGCAGATTCTTCTGAGAGCTGCTGTCCCTTCTTCTCTGTTGTGCTGTTGCTTCTTTTGACAGGGTTGACATAGTGGGTCTGTTTTTATTTTGACAACTTTCACATTTCTTCCACGTTCTCTGCTTTTGATCAAGATTCTTCCCTGAACACACTGCCGATTGGCCCTCTCGCACTTGGAGCTTGATTGGCCATTACTGCTGGGATGTGCTTTTCTGGGCTGTCCTTCTGCTCCCACATTGGGGACGGAAGTGATTAGTGACTGGGAGTCATTGTCCCATCTAGAACAGGAGCATCTGGGGAGAGGTTCCCAGATGAAGCCACAGTGCAGTTGGTGCTCTCCACCTGGTGAGATGGGGGTCTTCTCAAAGCGCTGAGCCAGGCTGTTCTACCAGGAATTGTATTTCTGCAGGGTTTTGCCAGGAAACAGGTACAAATTTACAAAGGAAAATCCAGAAATATCCACAGGAGAATAAACGGCAGTCTGTGTAATAATTTGAATCAAGCAACATTATCTTTTTTCTTTATAGTCAGACTAATTTTTACCAAAGGTACTTGAAAGGAAAACGAGTTTGTTTATAAAGTGAGTTTTGTTTTATCAGAAAATTGTGCTTGATTATTTGTTAGAGTGTTTTTACGAATCTGATTACAGGTGCTTCAAGGAAGAATGAAAACTATGTATTGCAAATGACTTAGAATAGGCATGGTTAGATTCTGATGAATTCAGCAGATGACAAGAAAATTTAGTGACTCTTGTTGCATTCAGTGCTGTGAGATGCCAGTCATGACTGAAGCCTTCATGCCAGGCCATCAGACTTTTAAAGATTTCATATGACCTTGCACAATCTTAGAATGTTTACATGAATAGTATATAGTAAACATCATTGTCAAGTAGTAGTCGTTTAGTTTTAAGCTTTTTAACCAGTAATAATCTCTCAAAAGACTTTAAAACAAATAGGTGCTTAAAAAGACTGTTTTTAAGATTTCGTTTTTTCCTAAGCCATCAGTAACCTAATAAAGACAGCCGAAAACATGATATGAACTTGCTGAAACAAAAAGTCCTTGTTTCCCAGGCCAATTTTTGTGAATTTTACTAAAATCAGAGCAATATTTTAAGAAAATTTTGTTGCTTCAAAATAGAGAATTAGATTCTGATTTTATATCGGTATATGAATGTTGTGAGTTTTAGAATCCTGAAGATGACTTTCACAGACGGTAGCAGACTAGGTCACACCTGTTTCTTCTACAGAGAGTGGTCCTTAGGACCCTGGCATCTGCTCTGAGCCTGCAGTGTGCTGTGGCCGTTTGTTGTGCCCTGTTGTTCTTTTCTCCCATTTTGGAAGAGTCCAGCCGTTCAAAGTCAGGATAGCAGTTTTATTTGCTATAAATAAATCCCTTTCTATGGAAAAAGAAATCTCTTTTTTAATCTTCCGAGCAGAAGGAGATCTTTGTACTGCAGCTCTCTTTTCTTTCTCTCTCCTGCTCACCCGCTACTTTCCGCCTTGTTTTCTTTCTCAAATTTACATTTCAGAACATTTCTTTAAAATCTTTGAATTTAGATAAAATTATTTCTTTTCTCAGTAAAAGATTTTGTCTTTTTTTAATAGTTTATTTATTTTTTTTTAATTCAAACATATCTTGGTTTCTTTGTTATTTATACAGGGGCACTTGACCACTGAGCCACATCCGCAGCCCCATTTTATTTTATTTAGAGACAAGGTCTCCCTGAGTTGCTTAGCACTTCGCCATAGCTGAGGCTAGCTTTGAATTTGCAATCCTGCCTTGGCCTCCTGAGACACTTGGATTAAAGGCATGTGTCACTGCACTCGGCCAGAATTTTTAACTCTTGGTAATTTTTAGTGAAGACTCAGGAAGGAAGAAACCTTGAATTTTTCGTCATATGCCAGCCATTAATGAAAGTGTATGTGTCAGTAGGCCATCATGTATAGTCTTTACTTCATGAAATTTAAGTACCTATGAAGTTTTGAATCTATATTTATATTCAGAGGCATTTATCTCATGCATATTTACTTCATTTGCTTATTTTTAAGCCATGATTCCCAGATTCCTTATGAAAATGAGGTATTAGATGAGCATTGCCATTTTATGTTACTTCTTTGTCAAGGAAAACCTTCAAACATTAAGGTGCTACACTTGATAGACGGGAAGAACCCACAATGCACTCTGCTCTCATCTGCAAAGTGGTTCTTAGGTCAGACTTGTTGTTTCATGATCCTAAACATTTGACAGAGATAAATATAACTCTGTTGAACCACGATACCTAAGCAAAAATGTGTACTAACAATTCTGAAGACCACTTCATTTTTACTTTACCAACAAATTGAGGAGACAGTAATATAGTAATATAATTTTATCAGTTTAGAAGAAGAGAGTTGTATCTGAATCATATTTATGAAAAAAATGGAACAGTTAAGGTCACCTTATCATATGGATAAACTTGAAGGTCTTTATTTATAGTCTTTTGAGCAAATGAGTTTAGGAGTTAACTCTTAGATGTTTGCATTTTACTAGGACTGTCTGAAATAGCAAACTTCAGGCAACCTTGAATAATAAAGTTATCTTAATATAAGCAAAAGAGTCAACAGATTTGAAATTGGCAGAAGAAAGAAAATACAGAGACCTGAAAATCCTTTACATGTTAAGCCTGTAATTGCTGTTTAAGAATCTCTCAGGGAGTCTCACAAGAAATTTTAAATCAGGCATGTAGGTCAAACCAAACTGTGAAGCCAGGCACACAGAATTGAAAGTGAATTCACCAGAGAAAGGCCATAAGATGTTACCATGAGCTCAATTATATTAAAAAGTGCAGGAGAAATCCCTGCCAAGCAAGAACAGAGCTGCCTGGGGAGTCCCCAGCAGACCTGTCCCTAGGAATTCCAGGCACAGCTAACTCTGATGGGTTTGAATTAAATTCTCCCATTGCTGCCCCAGTTGCCAAGAAATTGAAGAATTTCCTTTCCCTAAACTCTCACTCAGAAAATGAACGGTGCCTGCCAAAAGAGACCCTTAGTGGGAGTATTCACCGTAATGATGGCCTAAAGGAGGCCTGCCTTGTTCCTTAATGAAGGAATTCTTCAAGAAACCATCAGCAGCAGTCCTCTTCCAAAAAAGGGGCCTTCTACCTGAGAGAAGATCCACCAGGCAGAAAAAGACAAGCCACGGAAATGGGGGACTCAAAGACGCTTCCAGGGGTAGGTGGCTCTCTCTGAAGGTGATCTTGCCTCTGTTCCCTCAGCAGTCACCAGATATGCCAACCTCAGAAGAAAAGAAAGAGATT